ATTTATTATCTTTTTTTCTTGTGCTAATGTTATTGTTTACAACCGCCGAACTGAGCAAGAATATTTCGTTCGTGGTGATTTTCCCGTTTTCTTTCACGGTGATTTGGAAGTATCGATAGACAGAAAACGGTGTGTGAGAAGCTGGATATTTGAATTTAATTTTGACCTCGATCTCCCTTCGCTCACCTCTGAGGCGAAGACGGAAAAGGATGTATTGAAGTCGCCGCTGGAAAGGAGAAGCAACATAGAAAATGGCAACGGTAGCGAGAAAGGTAAAGTGGATCTTGTTCGTTTTCTTTGATTGTGTGAAGGAATGAAAGAAGGGGGGACTATACTATTCTCTTACAGGTGTGTTATTTATTTGTTGTTTTCTTTGTGGGAAGGAAGGAAAGAAGGGGGGACTACACTATTATCTTACAGGTGTGTTATTTATTTGTTGTTTTATTTCATTGTGTGAAGGAAGGAAAGAAGGGGGGACTATACTATTCTCTTACAGGTATGTTGTTTATTTGTTGTGCTGTTCTGGTTATTTCTGTCGTAAGTACGTGCCCGGCGAAATGGACAAGGATTCTTATAAAGTCCGTGATGTATAAATTGTTGGAAATCAGAGCAAATAAATCTGAAGTATATTTCACAAAGTACGTTGGTGGTAGAAACACGTAGAAGAGATTTATACATCCGGTGCACCCGCTGAAATAGGTGGTCTTGACCCGGTTTGGCTGGAATGGGTTATACGAGTCTCGAAAATAAAAGACTACTGTTTCAAGGATCCTCTGTTAAAGATTCTCTCTGTCTGTCTGTCTTTCTGTTTGTCTGTCTACCTATCTGTCTATCTATTCATTTATCTGTCTATCTTTATGTATCTTTGTTTGTTTATATTTATATGTGTATTTGTTTGTGCATTTGTTTGTTTATTTGCGATTTTTTCTGGCAATGCTTTTTCTTTCTCTTTATTTTCAGTTCTCTGTTTCCTTTTTTTTTGTATTGCAGCCCTCCTTCCCCCTCCCATGTTTTGAAAATAGCACCGCAGGTTGAAACGGAAAGGTATATTGCGACTGTTGGTCAAGACCCATTATTTGGGTAGTAATTTCGATTGCATGCCAACACCTCTCTCTCTCTCTCTCTCTCTCTCTCTCTCTCCTCTCTCTCTCTCTCTCTCTCTCTCTCTCTCTCTCTCTCTCTCTCTCTCTCTCTCTCTCTCTCTCTCTCTCAGTAAGACCACCTTGCTGTCGTGAATGACAGGGTACACTTTAAAAGTTATTTTAGAAATGGTTTGTGTCTTTTTTTTTTTAGATTTTGAATCGGTGTAATGAAGTGTCCTTTGATAGGTTTGTTAGGCTGTTATATGAGCATTCTTGTAGATGATCCATATTATGTAATCCCCCGATACCTGAATCAGATGAAAAGGTATCAGCTCTCTAGGAGTCTACGGAGATCATATATAGAGTGCAGAAAAATGAGAAAGATATAGATAAGGTATTATGGAGTGCAGAAGATAAGGAAATGGGTATGTTATTATGAAGTACGTGGAATTATGAAGAAAATGGGTGTGGTATTATGAACTATTTGACATGATGAGAAAATGGGTAAGGCATTATGGGGTACAGAAAACAATAAGAAAAGAGGCATGCCATTATGGAATACAGATCAGAAGTTTCGTCATAGCATTATTGAGATAAGTGGCGATGGAGGCTGTGAAACGTAGGTATAGGCCTAGGTGCCCGTCCCATTGTTTTCAAACTCCTTCACTCATTTCTTGTTATGGGGATCTTATTATTCTTTTGTCTCGAGCCCCTTCAGGAATATCGGTAGAAAGCATCATCTGATATTCTCCCTATAGGCCTATTAATCACGATCAGCCAGCAGGATCCCGAATGTGTTATGGTATTCATGGAATGGATGGCACTGATTACTTTTTTTTCGTCAGCTGGTCGATTTGAGGTTGAGTGAGGCTAGAGATAGGCTAGTTCTCATCTCGTGTCTGGGCTTTCAGCATCCGGTCGGTCTCGGGTTTTGACTCGTGATGCGAAGGCAGGTAGACTAAACCAGATTCATGTAGATTGGTTGTGGGATAAGGTAGGAGGATTCAGGGTGAGGTTTCACTTGGTTTTGGGAGCAGTGTGTCTTTTCGCGGAGCATCAGAACAGTGCTTGTCGTGATTTGGTGTCGCCCCTTTCAAGTCTCTCTCTCTCTCTCTCTCTCTCTCTCTCTCTCTCTCTCTCTCTCTCTCTCTCTCTCTCTCTCTCTCTCTCTCTCTCTCTCCTCTTCTCTCTCTTCTCTCTCTCTCCTCTCTCCCTCCCCTCCCCTCTCTCCCTCTCTCCCTCTCTCCCTCTCTCCTCTCCCTCTCCCTCTCCCTCTCTTCCCTCCCTCCTTCCCTCCTTCCCTCCTTCCTCCTTCCTCCTTCCTCTCTCTCTCTCCTCCCTTTCCTCCTCTCCTCTCTTGTCTTCCTTTATCCCCTTCATTGTCTCGCACTCTCCCCTCCCTCCTCCTCAGGAGTGTATGTATTTATGGATGTCTTTGTGCTTGCTTGCTTTCGACATCTCGCTCCACGGTTTCTTTTCCTTCTCGAGAAAGTGTTGGCGAAGTTGGGAAATAACAGCACCCTTTCTTCCCCCTCCTTCTCCCCCCCCTCATTTCTTTCTTCATCCTCCCCCCTTCTTCCCCTCCACCTTCTTTTCCTCCTCCTCCTCCTCCTCCTCCTCATCATCATCATCATCATCATCATCATCATCCTTCTTCTCTTCTTCCTTCTCGTCACCTCCCCTGTCCTCTCTTCTCCATCCCCTCCCTCTTTCTACTTCCCCTCCTTCACCTTTCTTCCTCTCATTCCTCTCCTCCTCCTCCACCCTTCTTTTCCTCCACCTTCCGTCTCCCTTTCCCCCTCTCCCCTTCTTCCTCCTTCACCTCCCCCCACTCCCTCTTCACCTCCCTCTCCTCTCCTTTCCTCCCTCCCCTTCCCCCTTCCCCCTTCCCCTCTCTTCCCCCCTTCCCTCTCTTCCCCCTTCTTCCTCCCCCCTTCACCTCCCTCTCCTCTCCTCCCCCCCTTCCTTCCTTCCCTCTTCTCTTCTTCTCTTCTCCTCTCCTCTTCTCTTCTCCCTCCTCTCTCTTTCTTCTCCTCCTCTGCCTTCCCCCTCCTTTCATCCTCTGATCACAGCTGTCATTGGTGGACCGACGGGGAGGGTCGTTGCACAACTTGATGCTCTGTCACTCAGATCGTGGGAAACCCTTAGTGTGGGAGGGGAGGGTAAGAGAGGACGGGGGCAAGGGGAGGCGAACAGCTGACCACCCCATGTGGGAGGGGAGGGGAGGGGGTAGACAGGTGGTACAGGTAGTTGTATTTTTTTTTAATACAGTATCATCTGAATGCTGACTTGCATCTCGGGAAAACTGTAGGTTGCAGCCGGGAAAGGGAGAGGGAGAGGGAGATGGAAGGGGGAGGGAAAATTGAGGAGGAGGAAGAGGAGAAGAAAAGAAAAGAATGGAAGGAGAGGAGATGAAAGAAGGAGACGGGAGTGAAGATGACGTAAACACAATATTGGAAGACAATGGGAGACAGAGAGGTGGGGGGGGGGGGGACTTCAGGAGGAAGAGGAGGAGGATAAAAAGAAAGAAAAAGGAGAAGAGACGAAAGAAGGGAGGCGAGAGTGAACAAGACATAACGCAGACACGGCGTAGACACAATATGAGAAGACAGTGGGAGACGGAGAGGAGGCAGGTGGTAGGTGATGTCACAGAAGGGGGGGGGGGAGGGGGAGAAGCGGATAAACTCGGATATTTTGGGGCAATTAAAAAAAGTAAAAGCATGAGCCCGCGCGTGACTGCGGGTAACCTCTTTACGTGTGCATAGGCTCGGCATAATAATGTGGTCATGAGGCTGTATTACGAGCCAGGTTTACAAGGTTTTAAAAAACTCTTATTTTCCTTCTATGGACAGCACGCTCCTTCTTTCTGGTCTTATCCGTGATGCTTTAAATTGTTATAGTTTTCAAGAAAGGTGAATAGGGTACGTAAGAGGAGGAGGAAGGGAAGAAAGACGAGGAAAGCTTAAGTGGCACCAAGATGAAACCAATCTGGGAGTCTGTGCACGTGGACGGGGTAGAAATAGTGATGAGAATACAATGAGCCTACTGTATTTTGAATGTGTGTAGGCAGATTTTGCGTATATCTGCCTCTGTATGTATGTTTGTGCAGTTGTTTATGTATGTAGGCCTATGTATGTTTGTATCTATCGATGTAGGCCTATGTATGTATGCATGTACCTATGTAATTATCTTTATGAATGGTATACGGTGCGGTACCAGAATACATTTCTTTAACATTATGAATAGCTGTTGAGATGTATATAAGTATATGCGCGTGCACACACGCACACGCACACGCACACGCACACTCACACTCACATGCGCGCACACACACACACAACACACACACACACACACACACACAAACACACAACACACACACACAAACACCACACACACACAACACACACAACACACACACACACACACACACACACACACATCACACACACACACACACACTACACACACACACACACACACACACACACACACACACACACACACACACACACACACACACACACACAACACACCACACCACACACCCAGACACACACCTATGTACATTGTATGCGTCTTGGTTATACATCTTGCGAAAAAAAAAGAAGAAAAGAAAAAAAGCAATTGTGCTTTATTGTACAGCAAAGTATGGGATTTAAGACCCAGGGACGTCTTGCATAAGGGCGTGTTATCGGTGCCGGTGGAGTGACGGGCGGGTGACGAAGGTAATGAGCGCAGCGACGGCACCGTGACGATGGGGAAGGGGGGGGGGTAGATGGGTGGGGAGGGGGGAAGGGATAGACGAAGGGAGGAGGAGAGGGGGAAGGGATGGGGGTACATTACGGCAGGGGGAGGGGTAGACGGAGAGGGGAGGGGGTGGGGGGGCATTGGCAAGGGAGAGAGAGGGTAGACGAGGAGAGGTGGAGGGGAGGGGGGAGACGACGCCTTGGGGGGGGAGAGGGGGGGGATCAAGAGCGCAAGTACATGGTCGTCGCCGCGGATGCCACGCCACCGCCGCCGCCGCCGCCGCTTGGCTTGGTTGGTGGCGTTGCTAGGGTGTGGTTGCAGGACCGGGAAACAGGAGCCGCAGTCGCCACGGGGTTTGGGAGAGGGAATGTCTTCTCGCTCTTACTTTCTCTCTCTCGTTCTCTCCCCCCCTCTCTCTCGTCTCATCTCTCTCTCTCTCT